CATTAAACTTCTAAATTCTAAAATTTGAAAACAAATTGTGAATTTTAAGAACATAGTCCTAGTTCTGACTTCTGACTAAAAAGAAAAAGATCATGGGCCTAATAAAGGCCCAACTATTATCAAAGATGGACCAACGGCACACAGATCTCCCCGCCTTTATATATCACGACGGAGACAAACTCAAGCCACGACGGTTCTCCGAGAGAGAGATTTTTCAAAAATCAACATTGCAACAGAAGCAAGAACCCTAATCGAGTACAAGCTCTGATTCCACTGATTAATCTCTAAAAAATGGCGAGTGAGAGTTCGCAATCTTCCTCTCCGTCGTCATCTCAACCCCCGTCATCTTTACCTTCTCCGTCGCCGGGGAACAACGTCGGAGATACGTTTATAGGAAGTTTCATCAGTCTAATTTCTAAGTACGAGATTCGTTACGAAGGCATTCTCTACCATCTCAACGTTCAGGACTCGACGCTAGGTCTAAAAAACGGTACGGATTCCAAAACCTATGCGATTTTGGATTTTCCGAACAACGCAGAGATTACATGTTTATGCTTTGTGTATTTGTAACTGGAACATCGAGTATATATATATCGTCATCACTTTGTTTGCGTTTGGAACTGGAAATTTGATTTTGATTCCGTTCTTGTGGTTGATTTGGTCTTAGATTCAAGGAGATGTAAGAGAAACTTGAGTATTCGTTTATATGTATTTGAGTATTCGTTTATATGTATTTGAGTTTTAAATTTGTGTTGATAGTTAGTGGAGAGTTAAAATCTGGAAACTGCTATGTTAGTGAATCATGAGAGGTGAAGTTACCAAGCAAATGTTTACTTGTGTTGCTATTCAAATGTGGCGTTCTTGTGTTGAATGATAGTATTATGTTGTCTGTTGAATGGTTGTGCAGTAAGATCATGTGGAACGGAGGGGAGGAAGAAAGATGGGCCGCAAATTCCGCCGTGTGATAGAGTTTACGATTACATTCTTTTTCGTGGAAGTGACATTAAGGTTAGTATTCAGATTCTTACCTTCTTAGGCATTTTATGTTTGATGTATTTCGTAGTTGGTCTTTTTAAGTTGGTACCCCTGAACTATGATCATTATTTAAGTTTGATTTATGTTGATACTTGTTTGTTGTTTTAGGATCTGCAAGTTAACCCATCTCCATCTGCTCAATCAAAACAGGAGATTCAAAGTGAACAAGACATCAATCAGGTATAGACATTCACTTAGAACATGGAGAATGCGAATTGTCTATTAAATTTATCACTTTTCATGATTTTTCAATCTCTTATTCCACCGTCCTGTTTACAGTCCTCTCACTCTAGGCCAGCTATGACTATGAGCTCTCCGCTTTCTGGCTATGATAGCGGTTATGGTTTGGGGAGAGGATCACAATGGATCAATACACCTGCTTTGAGTAGTAAACCGGTTCCTGTCACAGAACATTCATCAGTCTCTTTAAGTTTCCAGCCTCCTTCTTCAGCTAATGCTGGAAGTTTGACAGAATCACCAGTGAGCTTAATTGGTTCAACTCAAAGTAATGTTGGTTCCTCTATGCCTATGCCTTCTTTTGTGCAAGGTAACAAATTAGCTTCCACTGGTGTCCCTCTTGGTATGATGCAGCAGCCAGTTTCATCCTCCTCGACCGTACCCAATGATCCGCAGATTATAGATTATTTTGCTTCACCAATCATGGGAGTAGTGAATGATTCAACACAGGTTGTTACTCGTTCACCTGATGTTGCTTCTAATCGATCATACTCTTCCAACCCTTCTCCCCTTGGTCAAGCACAACTCCATACTCCACCTGGCCTTGTTTCAGCACCCTCTAACCTTTCTCCACCTTCTGAACCGCAGCTTTCTGCTCCAAATATTCAGAACAGTTACCCCAGTGCGCCCCGGGCTGTTGGTAAAGTTGTCTATGACTCTCAGTCTGATCATCCAAACCGATCTATACCTTATGAGTTACCTGCTGTAGCCTCCAATTCATCTCCTGTGATTCCTGGTCCATTGTCGAAGTCGCCTGAGTCATTCTTTGGTATGAATCCGTTACCGCAATCTAGGCAGCAGATGGTATATAGGGGTCAAGAGATGTTTGCACCTAACCCGATATCAGCGAATGTGCCATCACAAAGTTTTGCTACAAGAAATCATGCACCGTTGCTGCCTCTTCCAGTTTCAGCTCATCAGGTATCTTCCTATTTAATTCTTCTTCTGATGTATTCTCGTAGATATCACCCCTATGCATGATTTCCTCATGATTATCATAAAAAGTATTCATGATTAC